TTTTCTTGTTTCGGACAAATAATTTCATAGATTTTAAGTCTTCACTAAAAATAATTTAACACAATTACTAGGAAACAACATGAAAGCAAAATTCACTTGAGTGTAAAACCTGCAAGACGTGGGATGCCTGTATTCGATCTTAAAAAATGTCAGTTATGGGATTCAGATTTCTTTATAGACAAAAGTATATTATTCCACTTGCATATTTGCACGGTTAACTAGCCATTTCTACTGGTTAAGAGCAACTAATATTCAGTATAAAATACCAAAATATTATAGGATAAGTTTCACTTCACAATAACACGCACAATCGAAGATGAAAATATCGATCTATCTAGTTTCCAGCATGTAAACGCTTTAAGTAATGGCATTCATGTCAGCATCTTTATCAAGATGCGGGAGACTGCAAAACCGGACGAAACAAGGGCACACTAAACTGCGGAACATTCGTACTTTTAGAAATGTAGAAAGCAATGAGACTGTGGCTAGAGAGAGGAAACCCACGAAAAATCTATGGTCTGTTCATTCTGTCATATGCGGGGCGGTATCAGAAAGTCCCCAGACTGTTGTTGTTGTTGTAACTGCCCCGATGAAAGGAGATGAGAAGGGAGGCCAAGGCCACACTTCCACAAGCCTATTGCATCAGTCTACCACGTGACACCGTGCTGTGAACACGCATTGTTTCTACACGTGTGCTTTTCAACTTCGTGTTTCGTTTTGTCTGCGATGGATGGTAAAACAGAGCAACGTGTCTGCATCAAGTTTTGCGTGAAGCTCGGTAAATCCGCTACCGAAACCCCTGAAATGCTTCGTGAGGCTTTTGGAGAACATCCATTAAGCCGGACGGCAGTTTTTGAATGGCATTCAAGTTTCAAGGCCGGTCGAGTGTCAGCTGAAGATGATAAACATTCAGTGCGAACAAGGACCGACAAAATGACAGAAAATGTTGAGAAAAGTCAAGAACTCATCCACGAAGACCGTCGCCGAACAATCCATGAGCTCGCAGACACCGTTGCGATCGGTTATGGAGTTTGACAGATCTTAACAGAAAATTAGAACATGCCCCGCATTGCTCCTCCATCACGACAACGCGCCCGCCCACACTTCCCTGAAAACCACAGTTTTTGACTAACATGGTTATCGTTCCCCATCCTCCCTACTCGCCACACTTAGCCCCCTGTGACTTCGCTCTGTTTCCCAAATTGAAAGTGAAACTGGAGGGACGACGTTTTGAAACTGTGTCTGACATCCAAAGGGAACCGCAAGCGGCACTCGACAGCATTAAGGAAAATTAATTCCACTGTGCCTTTGAAGCGTAAAAAGAACGGATGGCATTGCTGTATACGTTCCCAATGAGATTATTTTGAAGGAGATGGCAGCCAGAATTGAGTAAGTTAAGCCAGCATTTCTTTTTTGACCCTGTCTGGGAACTTTCCAATACAGCTCCTATGCAGGAGTGTGTTGACATGTATTGTACCGTCATACTGATTCAAAAGTTGGTACACAAAAGAAATATGCACTGCATGCCTGACTAATTCGGTAGTTTGTATATTCTTTGTATTGTGATGTATCAAGCGATGTGGGAGAGTGCGTGAGAATGTTTGGAGGCCTAGTGTTCAAGGCTATATGTGCCTGGATAACATTCAGGATGGATCACTCTTTATAAAATAATGTACTTACAGATGGACCTGTGTCAAGACTACAGAGTGGTCTAACAAATGGTAAATGGTTCAACAGAAATGTCAAATATTACATTAATAAATCTCAATAAAAGATGCTGTATCCTGGTCAGTAAAGTTCTTAACAACCATGTAACAATGCGACGGATGAGCTTAACAGCCGTCGAAAGTAGGGTGACTATGAATTATACAGATTGACTAATATGGCAGGAAACGATAGCTGGCTATTTTGTGGTGTCATCCCATTTGTCTCCAAATTCTGCTGAAAATTATGGAAACCCTATCAGTGTACGTGCATTTGACCAGGATTCAATCCAGTTTGCTACCAAAAGTGAAGGAGGCACAATACCACTGTGCTACACTTGCCGGTAATAATGAAGACAATACCGCAAAAACACCACATATCTGAAGTATTTCTGTATATTTCATTTGTTCAAATTCAAAATTCTCATACTATGTTTCGATAAAACTAAACCACTGCTGGGAAATACAAAGAAACCAATTTATACAAACACAAGAACTGTCTGTATTTAATGCTTTGTGATTTAATACATAATAAAGATGCTGTAAATATCTTGAACCTTGAACCACAGGAGTGACTTTGGACTAGGCATTTCAACTTCTGAATCCTTCCTAATGCTTTCTTTATGGTTTTATGTCCTTGTCCTAGATGTTTTCTTATTGCAGACATGTCTGTTACTCCAAACACATATACGAGTATACTGTTTCAATGCTCAGCACATTGCACAGACCCATGAAGTATAATGTTCTTCGTATTCAGGCAAATATTCACCTCAAAACATCTATCCATTAAAACTGTGTAGGCTTACCTGTGAGATTCACGACGTAAAATAGAGATTATGCTGGACTGATATGAACCAAAATTAAATTTCCCTTACAGGAATAAGCATAAAAACCCCCCAAGACTCAGAACAGATGGAACAAATGGAACGACAGACATGACCTCCCCATTATGAGTTCATTTTACTTCCTTATAAGTATCTAAGGGTGCACATGACTGACACCGCTGCAATGTGAATTCAGGAAATATTACAGTTAGTATCATGCAATGAGTATTATTTTACTGAAATGACGCCTAGCTGGAAAAGTCATGTGGGTACCATATCAGCATTCATGTTTACAATTTTGAAAAGAAACTTGAGAACAGCCTGTTGAAGTCAACAGGAAATCTAAACGTTAATACAGAAATTGCGTTTGCTACAGATTACTTAATTTCACACAAAGGTACTAAAATACTATATAAACAGAAAAACAGTTTTCAAAACTCAGAATAATTTTCACTGCAATAAGTCCTGCCTATAAAATCTTCACCCAGCATACAATCTTACCCCGGCTGCGTAGACATTATTATACACTGATGAAAGTTGAGGTCATAATGTTAAAACCATGTAAACAGAACAAAATGGACGCACCAAATTAAGCTACAAATAAAGTAAAGCTATCCCTGTGTTTAATTAAGCACCATGCCTAGAAGCCAGTACCTTCTGATAATTGAGGGAACACTCCATGAATTCCAAATCTTGGCACTACATGGAAATAAATGGTCAATTTCATGCCATGGCCGCCTCATGCCAGCGTTTAACACTCAGTAGCCATTGGACAGAAGGTGGGTGGGAACCAGAGCTGATCTGGACACTGTCAAGAAGAAAATCTCCTACCGCTGCGACTGCGTGTGTTATACACGCAGTCACAGGAGCGAGACGCAACATAGAGCACAATACACGATAGTGAAAGAGTGCTACAACAGAAGATGATAGACGTGACTCGCGTAATGAAACACGACGTAAGAATGAAATATGCTGTATAATTTTAATATTTTAACACTTAACATTTATCAGTATATATGATAAATATATATTTTAGTTATTTTAGTATGTATAGACAAGGCATGCAATGAACTAGTTTGTCGTGGATTGGATCAGCACCTGAAGATGGCACATTTGTGCCGAAACATGTAGTGAGAGTGAGAAGAGGGGATAGATGAATGTATGCACTAGAAGACGGATAAAATAAATCATGGACTTAAATCAGTACTCCTAAAGTGATATAAGGGCAAATTGGCATTAAATATGCCAACTCAAGGCATATATTGAGACAGAAGGAATTGCCTTTGAACAAAATAATGAATTCACATTGTCAAACGAGCTGACTGATTGATTTAGAAAATGCACAGAACTTAGCTACAGGACCATGAAGGGGGGTGCTAAAAGGTAAATGGAGTGGAAGCAGGAGCCTCAAAAACTGGCATGCTTCCTCTGTTATGACTGAATAAGACCTGAAGGATGTATTCAATGTAGATGAAGTTACTTTTCAATTCATTCAGTGTAAAAAAGTTGTCTGTATGGTGTAACATAGTGTACAAATAATTTATTAATACCATGGAATACTGTTTCTCATCATATTAAGATACTGTCACATGACAGTGACTACAGACGGGTTTTGGATTGATGACTCGATTTATGGCACACTCTGATACAGCACGTGACCGTGCGCGCGCACACACATACACACACACACAGACTACTGTTCACACATTCATAAAAGACAAACCCATCATCTTATCAGAGGTGTTACATGAGGGCTACGGCCACAAGGGTTCAGTTGAAAAATAATCTCTGGTCATGATCCTCAAGGTGCTTTGCACCTGATTGGCGGAAATTAATACCAGACTCTTCACTTCTCACAAAGGCACCATATACTCAATTCAGTGCATAACGTTCACATGCCCTTTCAACACAAGAATTAACAAGTGATGCTATATAGTTTTGATACTGAAAGCATCATTAAATATCCCCCCTCCCAAAGGAATAATACAACTAACTGAATGTTCAACACAATACCAAGAACCTAAGATTATGAGGGACAGGCACATAATGCATAAGATCGCCTTATGGTAGCTGTTCAAAAGATTTACGGGGTCAACACTGCAGAGATACTGCAAAATGTATAAGCCACTGGCCTGTCAACCATACTGCAACTCTGAACTCGTACTTGTATAGTGTTAAGATGTCATGGTTAGCACTTATCAATCCTGCTGGACCATCCACACAATTTCTAGCAGGCTCCCTTAACGATTTCCCCACAGAATTAAGCCATAAACAGTACCTCACAATACATATAACACCCATGTAAGTTGTTATATTTTAAGCCTTAAAAAGAAATGTTAATAAAGAAAACATACATGGCACATTCCCTTTCACTAAAACAATAACAAAAATGAGACAATCTCTTCTTCATAACAGTTAACACCATGCCATGAACCATGCAACTTATATTACATCATTGTCAGCAAATACTCACCCTCTTCTGCTGAAAGGTCTGAGAATTTGATGCCACCACTAAAACAGAAGAAATCAGGTATATAATATTACATTAAAAATTGAGTGATAAAATGTATCAAGGATCTTCAAGAGACTGAAACATCACCTACCTTAACAACACAGTTGCCGTTTCTGGGACCCGAAAAACCTGTAAAAGGGATTGCTCACTTTTCTAAGGTGTTATTCAACATCAGCACTTAGTACTGAGTGCTGATGTAACTTTAACAGGAAAATTTATTTCACTGATAATTTCCAACTGCAAAATGTCAAGTGAAATATAAAAAGCAGACCCCTTATTAAAGCAGAGAGTTTGTATCTACTTGTACACTTCAGTAATGTACTTGTTGAATCTACTGTATATAAACTCCTTACATACTGTGCAAAATGTCCAAGTTATATCATAAGAGTTTCAAAACAGAAGTCAACAGTAAAACCACTCTGAGTCACTACGATAATAATAATTTATACAAATGATTGATGTATTATTGTTTTGTTCGCACATAACCACAGTACTCGCTCAGTAACTTCATTTGTCATTTTTAATATTTTATATCTACAGCATCCTGTTACCTCTTCGAAGTAGTTCATCTTAATCACTAACGTAAGATCACTTCCAGCAGCAAGCTTCAGAAACATTAAACCTTTATCTGTATGTTTACTTAAGTCTACCTACCTGTAAATATATAAACTGACTTATATTCAACAGGTGCAGAAGAGCGAATAAATGACATACAACTAACCTTCCATCCAAGATTTTCGAAGAACGTGCATAAACGTGACTGTCCAGTAGTCTTACCGCCACAAGGACCTGTAAATAAATATACTGGTTGTATTCATTCTCATCACAAGTGGCACCAATAATTGCCATTCCATTCATTCATCAATCATTGATCTTCGCTAAGCTTTTTCAAATACATTTCTTCTTACCTCCTGTGAGTACGACTTTATAAACTCTCTTTTGCTTCTTTTCCATGACGTTTACTGAACTCAACAGGATAAACGGCTAAATGCTTACAGTAGTCTGACGGTACAGTGCACTGTCAAATCATATTTACAGACAGCCACTCATTACATAACGCAAATACCACACACCACCATTAGGCGAACCGGACGGCACCGGACTCCTGCACCTAAAGAAGGCAGAAGTTTTCTCGCGCATGGAACATGACATGCTGCCCCGATTAGTTGATCAGTGGTATAACATACATGTACTCAGATGAACATCTATGGCGTAGCTGATCCGTGGCTTTATGTAACTACAATCCGTGGATATGGCTATGTTCCATTGAATAAATCACAACAAAGAGAAATTTTGTACCCGTGCTTAAATTAAATTAAATTCTGATGTCTATAACATGAATACTAGACAAAAATATAACTTACACCTACCCTCATCAACTTTATCAGTATATCAAAAAGGAGTCTACTTTACTGGCATAAAAGTGTTCAACAATCTGCCACAAAGTATTAAAAACTTGGGCAATGATACTAAAAAGTTTAAATCAGAGTTAAAGAATTATCTACATGCTCATTCCTTCTACTCTTTAGATGAATACTTCAATGTAAATAGAGAATGATGTAAAATTAAGTTATATTAATTTTTAAGCTAAAATTGCCTGTACTTATGTATGTAACCTTTTGACTTGTTCTGTATCCAAAGGTACTAACCTGCTTAGGATTTATAGAATGTAAATAAATTCAATTCAATTCAACGAATTAATTAAGCATGACGCCATGAAGACGTAGGGGGGAGGAAATGCATATATCCACTTATTCTTGACATCGGCACTAGTTTGAGGTGAGTGGTTAGATTCGCCCTGGCTTTTTAAAATCCTGGGCAGAGTCTCAGTTACCCATGGGACGCAAAGTGGAGTAGGCCCCAGAACCGGTATGGATGACGTGGAGAGGAGGAAATATTGCCCTACCGGGACTCGAACTCCGACCCCTCAGTCGTCCATCCCGTACCCAGTCGCTATACCGACTGCGCAATCCCGGCCATGTTCCATTAGAAAATCCTGAAATATTTTCAGTTTAAAATCGCATGAGCAGTAGTTATATTTGTTCCTATTTTTAGTCTACTTTCCTTATTTTCAAAAAATAAAAGTAGTCTTATAAGATAACCTTGGGTACGCAGTAGTGTATTTGGTTCAGGCTCTATGCTACAAGTTGGAAGGCCATGGGGTTGACTGAGCCTCTTAACAAAATGAGAGCCAGGAATCCTTCTGGGTGTGAAAGGCAGCTGGCACATAAGGCTGACCTAACCACCATCTGTGACCTGACTGTCTACAAAATGTGGAAGCCTCGATGCCTCACAACCCTATGGACCTCCACAGTCTGTCAACAGGGATAGCTTTACCTTTTGATGAGATTACCATAATGTCTCTGTGTATGTGTATCCCCCTCTAACAAACTTCGAATGCCAGAACCCAACTTTATGAAATATGGTATGTATATCATGGCCTCTCAGCCCAACACAATGGCATAATATATAAAACCCTTCCAACCAGTACTACCAACATTACAGCCTCTCAAATTGCTGAGCAGCCATAAAGGGGGAGGAATGTGACATGACACCTGAAAGCCAGAATAGTGGAGTCAGAAAAGATGGATGTTGCTAGGCTATGGTTGAGTAAAAGTGTTCCTGCGGCAATGAATACACACGCAGGAATAAAAGAACTGTTCGGCACAGTGTTTAGTATTCAGTCCATGCTGTGGCAAACCCTCAGTTTATAGTGAAAGCCAAAGTAGGTCATCAGTTCTTTCCAGAACTTCTGTTAGTAGCTCTGTATGTTAAAAAGTTCCATGGTTGATGATGGTTGTGATTTAACTCCACTGAAGTAGCTGTGGAATGTTAATGTATATGGCAGAATGTAATCTCTGAGGACTCAACCATATAATACTGTTTCTAAAACCAGACACAACCAATGCATGTTTAATTTCTATATACTGTACATAGTACTATAAAGGTGACCAAAACTGTGTTCTTTTCTCTCTCCCCCTCCGTCTTGGACTGTTGCCATTTCAACAGTATATTATAGGCCACTTCTTAAGTAGTACTGTGTTGGAATGGGCACACAGTGCTATCTAATGGACATGTAGTAAACCTACATATTGCTCCACAGTCAACCTCACCTATCATCTGGGGCTGGTACAATAGGCCAGATGTGGCCGCAGTACAAGGGACTTAAGTCCCACCTCACTACCAATAAAAAAAATATTTACTTATGGAGCTGAGCCCTTCTTGAGGAGCTCCCAAATCTGCAGCTACTTAAGAATTTTCCAGCATTTTATGGAACCCAAAAGTTCACAAGAGCCCTCCATTGGTCCCTATCCTGAGCCAGATCAATCCAATCAATACCATTCCATCCTATCTCTCTAAGATCAATTTTAATATTGTCCACCCACCTACACCTTGGTCTTTCCAGTGGTCTCTTTCCTTCAAACCTTCCCACCAATATCCTATATGCATTCCTCTTCACCCCCATTCGTGCTACATGCCATGCCCACCTCATCCTCGACTTGATCATTCTAATTATACTTGGAGAAGAGTACAAGTTATAAACCTCATTATGCAGTTTCCTCCAACCTCCTGTCACTTCATCTCTCTTTGGTCCATATATTCTCCTCAACACCCTCAGTCTGTTCCTCCCTTAATATCAGAGACCAAATTTCACACCCATACAGAACCAGAGGCAAAATTATAGTTTTGTATATTCTAATTTTTATGTTTTTGGACAGCAGAGGAGAAGACAAAAGGTTCTGGACTGAATGGTAGCAAGCATTACCAAAGTTCAATCTCCTCACACTACTACATGTTAAAGTATTTGTACTCGTACTACATGAAAGAAGTAGCTTTATTGTAATCAAAGGCTTATAAGTCTTATAATTCTTTGTACACTGTTATGTCCAGGTCTCTGTATCTTTCTGTTTTCCACAAGAGGTTTGCTGTGGCACGATGTGGATCTTAATTTACTATTCTTACACCATTCATTGACATAAATATTTTTGAATTCATAGATTCATCAGTTAGACATTTGATGAAGTGATTTTATGTGGCTATAGTGGACTGTTACCTTCTCTGTGGTCAGTAAATGAGGTGTCACTAAAATTCAAACAAGCAACTTTCATAGCTTATTAAAGCATTCCATGACATAAACTGTGACATCTATATCTAGTATGTCCCTGAACAAAGGTCAGTTATCACATACATGTAAGAGTGTATTTTGCTACAACATTTTTGCCAAAAATCAGTTCAACCAATGAATGACCTGCATCAATAATTTCTTCAGGAGTTGATGCTGACAATAATGAAGACATCCTTGAAATAGCATTATGAACAATGCTATAAACTTTGCTCTAATTGCAGGCCACATCATCATCAAATTGTACATCAATGTGATCTATTGTGCTCATCATTTGTGTTAATGCTCGTCCTCATCACCAGGTAGTGTTGCTGCTGACAATAGGTTTCTGAGTAGCATTCATTCATCAGTAATCTGTCAAGATGACAGGTCCACAGTCTCTTCCAAACCAGTTCCCCCACTTAATGCGATCTAGAGCTTCCTCCTTCAAATGAGAATATCCTCTTGTCCCCAAGGTCATCCAGCATCTTCTTACGTCTTATTCGTCTTCTGGACACTTCTCTCCACCCCTCTATCTTTCCTTCAATAACCTCTTTTAGAAGGCAGTTACTGCGTAAGATATGACCAATCCAATTAGCCTTCTGTTTTCTTATTTTGTGCAGGATATTCCTCTCCTCACTGACTCTAATTAACACTTCTTCATTTCTCACATAATCGGTCCAAATGATCTTCTCCATCCTTCTCCAACACCATTCGAAGCTTTCCAGGTGTTTCTGATCTACTGCCCTAAGTGTCCAAGTTTCAGCCCCATACAAAGTCATGCTCCAAATGTAGCATTTCACTAGTTTCCTTCTCAAATTTAAGTCCAATTTGCTGGTAAAAAGATTCTTCTTCTTGCTAAATGCAGCTTTTGCCATGGCAATCCTAGATTTAATTTCACAAGTACACCTTCCATCATCTGTTAACAAGCTACCCAAATATTTAAAACTTTTCACATTCTCCAGTTGTTTTTGGTCTATCTTTATTGTGACTTGGGTTGGTTGTCTCGAAATTTTCATTACTTTTGATTTTCCCACATTCATGAGTAGCATTATCTCTGGGAATTAATACGTTAGAAAGTATCAAGTTTGAAGACTCAATATTTTGTCTGTAGCAAATTCACATTCAGTTTTCTTGGCTATAAACTGATTATCTGAATGTGTCAATGTTGAAAATTGGAAATTATGCACCTCTTCAGTTTGCTGTGTGTTGTAAACACAACTGCTGACAGAATGCTTTCCGAAGTGTATTCTGAAGATGTTGATTTTACCATGGACAAGTTATACTTATGACAGACACCATACAACAGAAGCCAATTAATTCATTATAAATAATGTTATATTCTTGAAACTTTTCCTTATTCAAACAATATGTTCAAAAACATCATATTCATTATATTATGATTCATTTTCAAATTTTTCAAAAATAAACACACACACACATAAGACAGAATAATAGCTTTCTATGAAACAACCACTGCTCAATTTTATATTGTGATACATTACACTCTACTGAAGCTGGACTGCCAATGATGCATAAAGGGACCACAAAAGAGATGCATGGACAAGCTTCAAGCATGAACTTACTAGATCCAATGTAGCTGTGTGTAGTTATCTTGTATATCGTGGCGTAAGGCTGACAGAAGAACGTTTTTGTGCTTTACAAATGGGGAAGCACCTAATATTCTCTCATTCTGTATATGACTATCCACTTAACATATCTTAACACATGGCCTCGTACCTTCTTTCAATTGTGAGCAAGGAGATAGGGTGTGCACAATATGGAATAACAAATAATTTTCTGAATCTCTTTATCCATCTCTACACATCAGTTAATAAACTTGCTTATATATATATATATATATATATATATATAAAAATAAGATCACAACTTGGATTGTCTCTTGAGTCTCAAACATCTGTCATTTCACACTGACCTTTCAGTACCAAATCTTTTCACTAATATATACAAGAGATGTTTATGTTTCACGGTTCACATAAGTACACCAGGATCCAGCTTCCACT